TGCTTCTATTAGTGCGCCATTTCGTACTATACAATCCTCGCCCTAGTACAGGATAATAAGCCATGCATAAATTCAAACTACTGAAGGAATCATGGAAGCTTCTATCTTCAGGCGTCTTTAGCGTTCGGGTTCTACTGAAAAGCGTAGAAACACTTGGAAGCGAGCATTGCCTGGACTTTGACTCTGAAGGGTAATCTCTGTTCTAACCTGATGCCTAACAGGGATCTGGGACATTTACCTTCAGTGTGGCGGTATCTATTGCTTTCGGGAGCGGGACGTGATCCGCTGATCATGGCAACGATAGCGGCACATCATTTTAATTATATCATCTTCGTGAATGCTCTGGTTGAGCTCAGTACCGTTTCAGTGAATTTCTGAGATGAAACATGCCACAACAAAAAGAAGCTGAAAAAACTAATCAAGTAGAGAGTCTGTCAGAACGGTCCTTTATCCGATTATGCAGATGAAAGACTGTTTAAATTTTTTACATACGTATTTTCATGGAAAGAAGCGATTTGAGCTAAAAGCCCCGAGCGATCTCATAAGTGTCATAGCTATAGTGAGGACGATTAGATTGTGTAGGAGGTCGCTGAATAAGTGAAAAAGAATGCCTCCCTCCAGATTATAATGTTTATTCTCATTCTAAAACTCCCAAACAGCCTTTTCTTTTTTCTCTTTATATTTTCGAAAAAGCGTAGATGGTGTAATGTCAAGTGGCGCCATATCACACACGCATGGTCAGGGGATCGCATCTCGGGTAGATATCCGCCTAGGCCAACCGAGCCTTCCTTTCCTCCGGTGTCGGTTATTCGGTACCATGCACGTGTGGGTGGATAAAAGCACTAACTTGTACATACATCAGCTGGCCATCGCAAGTCATTGTATAGATCACATACGCATTCAATACGCCACTTGGATTCTGAATGGAAGTCGAGTGCGGGGCGCATCCCTCAGACGGGATTGATCAACTTCCGCGAACTTCATCCTTTATATTTCCGGAAAAAAGCATCACTACTGAAGTACTGTTATGAGAGGATCTGAGATCGCTACTATTTACTTAGTTTGTTTAGACCACGCTAGAACTAATTATTAACGCCCTGGACGGAGATCTACTTTCATTAGGCAATATTGGGAAGCCTGTTCAAGGACCGCCCGAGTAAGGTTCATACTTAATAGCTCCGTATGAGAATTCGACGATATCGGTCTATAAATACTATAAGAAGCCCACCGTGAGCTGTTACAAACAGCAATTATTGCTCGTGACGTACCAAAGTAGTTCTTTAACCTCTCATAATACTTGTATTCTCATACTACCACTAACGTCATTCACTCATTTGGCCCATATGGGTTCGCTTACGTCCAAACTCTTTATCTGTTACTTCTCAAATGGTGCTACTGCATATGTTTATATGGATGTTTACATTTTGTTGAGCTCTCGGTGTACAGTACACAGAACAGTTTACAATAAGTGTGTTTAAATAGTCTGGAGTTAAGTCTTGGGGCGCTAGTCAATCCGTCTGAGTGATGCGCCCACGCATTCGACTTCCATTTAGAATCGTAGTGGCATGATGAATGCGTATGTGGCCTATACAATGACTTGTGGTGGCCAGCCGATGCGCAAGTCAGTGCTTTTATCCCCCCAGATGAGTTTGGTACAATTTAACGGACCCCTTGGGAGTCGAAGGCTTAGTTGAGCTAGGCGGATTTCATCCGAAGTCGAACCCGTGACCATGTAACCCGTGTGTGTTAGTGCGCCACTTGTCACTACACCACCTTCGCCCATTTGCAATTAGTTTCAAGAAAATAAGGCACTTGTGGAGGTGTGCTAACCTTTAGCTAGGCTTTCTCGAGATTTTATGTAAGACGCTAAACCATCTATATTTTGATGAGGACTAGCCAAAACTGGTACCGGTGGTGGTGGTGGTACTTCTCCGTGAATACCCACGGCAAGCAGCAGTAGTGGCGGCTTCCGTATCCTTCCACTGGGAATTCGAATCTTTGCCTTCTGCGACTGCGCGCGACCGGGTGCGACGAGCGCGACGCGATTTTCGGGGAGTAGTACCCACACTCCTTAAAAGCAGCCCGATTGTTTATAAAATTGAGTCATGGTTTTTTGAGCCTAAATCGACTGCTAGTCCAAACTGTCAGGGATTACTGTTCCCAGGATTGCTCTGATGGTGAGCCGAAGAACTGTCCATTGAAACTCATATCGGAAGGAATCTAGCGTAGAAAATGATGATCGAATGAGCACAAAGTGTCCTTGCGTTTTTTAATTTTTGTCTCATCTATGCACTAAGGCTCTTTACGACTAGTCTGAGGGCACGACGTATCAATAGCAGCTCTAAAACGGTTCATATGGCTTAACGGCTAACAGACAGCTTGAGAACAGATTTCGTAACGGCCCATTTGGTTAAGCTGCCATGTTTTTCAGCGTTACATAGTCGCGTTAAAACAGTAGGTCGTTACGCTGGCGCACATGCACCTCGAAGAAGGTGGAAGCCATGGGAGCGGGCAGTTGAATCGGATTTGCGTAATCGATTCGCCGCACGCGGCAGTCGCGGACTAGTTGCCTCGTTATTGCAGCTCTAGAGTTCTTTATACAGCTCGATCGATATGCGGTCATTATTTTTGGTATGAATCTACTATTACTTCTTTTGTTTCGTTATCCCTTACTCGCTAATTGGCTTGATATTAGTCAGGCCATCCTTCAGGTCGGGGAACCAGTCCTTTCTTAAGTCCATCTCGTATTGGGGATGTGCTGGGAATTCGATTAAAACCGTTGTTTCAAGAATCTAAACTGCTCAGCAGACTCATCTGAGCAGCTCTTCGAAAAAAAATTGCCTCAAATGGTAACCCGATGTGAACTCGGTTGGAAGTACTTCCAATTCACCAGCGCCGTCTTCCCCTCTTAAGTTCGGTAATGGACCCGTTGCAAGCTAGAAGTTGTTCTTACTGCTTTCAAGTGGTAGTCAAAAGCGATTTTGTTTAGTACAAAGTATGTTTTGGTGGTGCTGCCTGCCGACTCACTCAAGGATGCTTTCAACAAAAGTCTCTGCACACTCCTCTCAAGCATTATTCATCATGATTAATCCCATGCTCTTCATGATTAACGTAGCATCCTCCCTTGGGCTCCTCCTAGCGTTGCCAAAAATCTTCCACACACATCGCTTACCCTTGAACTACAATTCCCAAGGGAAGTGGTTCCGCTGGGCTCCCTCATCTATAATACAACAGGAAGACACCGAGGGGTGTGAGCAACTTCCCAAGGTTGCCTCTCCCTACCCATCTCACCTAACCATTCCCTTGCCTATTTCCAGATTACTAAGATTACTAAGTTTCTTACTCACTGCTGCTATTAAATACACCTACATAAGCTAATCACCCCCTCTAGCTTTCATTGTTTTTTACCATACCTACCCATTTAATTTCTGTTATCAACTGTCGATCGGTGGGTACAGAAAGTAGTGATTACAGTTTGCACGGTACATGGAATCGAATTCTTTTCAGGGCCTACTATTTGTTGCCAGATATGCCTAGGAGGATCAACACATAGTTATGAACTTTATCTGGCCTTGTAAATAGAAATATAAACTTGCACGCATCCAAATACTGTGTTCAAATAACTTTAATATTTTGAATGGATAGACTACTCCGCTAGCAATGCTTCCTCCCGATTCGTTCCAATGCTATAGTTCTTTCGGCTTTCATGGAATCATATGAATTACACAAAAAAAGAAAACTTCCATTCTGAGCCTAGATATCCCACACACGATGCTTTTTGGAGTTCAAATCCAAGGGACTGAGAAAACTCTTCTTACTCCCTGTGGGATGATGTTTTCCAAAGGATTAACATCTTTACTAGCTAGAATCTCCATGTGACTAAGCTCCTGACCAACCATTTCGGAAGGGAGACCCTTAAGGTTACTTTCAGCGTAGTCTAGCATTACGTTAGCTCTGAATGATCTGAAAGACATTAGGTTTTTTGAAATTCCTGGACATGAAAATGGTGGAACGGAACGAAACCCATCTCCTCCTTGAAGTTTTGGGTCATACTGAATACGCGGAGGTCTTGTTTGGAGAATGGAAATCGAAATCGAAACCTCTCAGATAGCGCTACCTATTACGTATTATGTACTTATCTAAGTAAATGTGAAACTTTCGAATTCGCTCCGTGTGTTCCGAAATTGTCCGAATATTTAATTGAATAGATTTTCGTAGTAGTCTGAAAATCACTGCTGTTTCCGTATGTGGGAGCCGCTACTTGGATGGTTTTAAATGAAGCGCTATACGGGTGTGGTGCGTTAGTAACGAAATGGTCGCGTCGCGGTGAGAGGGGCGCCGCGCGCGAAGGAATGTAGCAGGATGCAGCAGTAGGTGAGAAATACAACAACAAAAGTACTTATAGTAGAATAATGATCGCGTATCGATTGAGCTCTATGAAGAACGCTAGGGCGTAATAAAGGCGAATGAGTGGCCGCGACAGCCGCGTGCGGCGAATCGATTACCCAAAATCGTTCCTAACGCCCGTCTCCCAGCGCTATACCACTAATGTTGAATCACTCGATTTGATTCTTGTATTGGTTACCGATTACTGCGCTTTCTAGAGTTTTATCCATTGCTAATGAATTTTCGTTTTTACTCCACTGTGAGAATGGACAGCAAGATTGGATTGAAAGTGGACTGCTCTATATATGACCAGCTCCAGAGTGCCGGCGACCCCCATTCTCGATCATGTTATTGTTATTTCACTTACTACTTCTCGATAATTAATAATATTGAAGCGTAACCTCTCTTCATCCACTTTCACTACCAACTTTATCATATATGATCATCTCGTACTTTCTGCGGTTACCTTTTTTGTATCGTTTCGAAATCCAAGATAGTGATTTGAGAAAATGTTATCTTCAAAACCGAATTTTCAAGCAACTAACGTCAGCGTCACGTGATTCGCATTTTCCCAGATTATAAAATATTTTGAGATATCATATTTCAGTGAATGCATGAACTCGTATGACTACACATTACCAATACTGGTAATCTTCAACTCTTTGGTTCTTTTCACATATCCACTACATGTGATTTTCGTCATATCACTATTCCGTAATCGAGGTTCAAATGCTCTTGGGACTCCTTTCCATCATCTACTCTTAGGCGTGGGTAAGTATATCTTTTCACCCTTACTATCCCATTCTACCAGTATTTTACTCCAAAAAACAGAGATTTTCGTTTTGACATATTAGATTTTACATTTTCCTATACAGAGAAGCTTTTAAACTGAAGGTTGCAAGAAGTCCCGAAGGTTCACTTGTGATGTGTTGAAATGGGCATCCTGAAAATGATCGTACTCCCAAATATTTTTTCAATCAGAAGCTTTTCACGGGTTGAGTTCAGCGTGCTCTTGAAATCTCCCCAAGGAGAAGTTTAGTGCTCTAAATTGGGCTCGAAAAAATCTGATGAGGGATTTCGTAGATTGGTTCTATTTTGGTTGCCCAACAACATGGGATATCCCTGTGCTCTCCTAGAACCATCGAAGCGGGTCTAGTCAGACCAACACAAACATGATTTGCCGACCGAGCTATATTTGGCCGTCCGAATACGAATGAGTCAGTGAAAGGGGAAATCCAGGGTCAACGACCAGAACCTTCTGTGCTCAGTACTGCTTAATATTTCCTGGTATTATCTTTGGAAAAACTCTCTAACATATTGATTAACGATGGCAAAAACAAGCATGCAACTGCCGGCAACTTACCCCACAAGCCCTGGAACATTGAAAAACGGAACAGCGTATTGCAGGACTTACTTGGTTTTAGTATCGATCGGCCTCACCCAATCGATATTAATCAATAATTTCTGGTACAGTCGTAATGTAGGGTTTGCGGGGTTCAAAGTTGAAAATCACTTAATTGGGGCCAAAGAATGTAGGATCTCAATTCCTTATGAAGAAGTTGAGCACTCACAAGTACTACAAGTACGAAAAGCTGTCAAAGTATTCACGGCATGTCATTCGTGCTGGAGAGCCCAGGCGATGGCAGAAATCATCTTTGAAAGTTCTTTTCGTAATTGTGGTTGTTTTTGAATACAATTTCTAGGGCATACAAATTCCATGGATATCTACAAAAAGCTATCAGACTAACTACAGTAATTCTCTTTTTTTTGCAGGGATATCAGACTTGATCAGTGCTACTGGTTATTTGCTGTTTCAAGAGCCAGCATGGCTTGGATTAGCGCCAAGATTCTATTTGGAGAACGCTTGGTGGATAGCTAAGGTGAGTGAATACAAAAGCAGAGGTTACATACGTCTAGCTTATAAATACTTATTTGATGCTCCAATATTAACAAAAGCTACTGGAGATTACCAGTACTCTGAATGAGCTTTCATAGGCGGGACGAGAATTAAATTCAGGATGTTTAATCCAAAAAATGCTTCTGGGTTCTGTAGTCTGATGGACTCTAAGCGACCACTGCTTGTTACTATTATACTAGAGCGAATCCGATAAAATCGGGTCTTGGTAGATTACTAAGTATTGATGACCACGCTTGTGTTCAACTCTGTCCCGGGCCAATTAGTCCAGCAGGGCAGACGTCGCATGCACTGGTGCGACGGTGCGCGTGGCGAATCTTATCTAGTTGTCTCACAGGNGATAAAATCGGGTCTTGGTAGATTACTAAGTATTGATGACCACGCTTGTGTTCAACTCTGTCCCGCGCCAATTAGTCCAGCAGGGCAGACGCCGCATGCACTGGTGCGACGGTGCGCGTGGCGAATCTTATCTAGTTGTCTCACAGGGTTATTAGCGATTTCTATGCGTCAGCGTTGTTCTACAACGGATTAGTAAATGCTTTTGGTATTTTGAATTTTATGAATTCTTCTATGCATAAAGTAAACCACGAAAAAAGCCTGTTTCAGATTGTAAATATTTGTGGTATAGCCGTATCGAATGTACCTCTCTATCTTCACTTTTTCTTGGCAATCAATCGTTTCACAGCTATTCGCTTGCCTGCACGACATTATTCGGTAAAAATTTTTCAAACAAAGCATTACTGCTGATTTTTGTTGATTTCATAGTAGGGGCTCTCGTTAAAGGGCATCTTAGGAAAAACTTACAGTTAAGTATGGTCAGGGGACTGGTGTACCATGTCCTACAATGAATGCTTGAAATAATCACCACTCTTGAATATCGTATACGATCAATTCCCGGATCTTTACCTGACTTCTCTGTCGATTTTTCATTTACTGCCTAATGAGCCTCCCCATTTTATAATGAAATGCTTAAAGCACAATCTACTATAATACCGGGGTGTTTGAAGTCGTGGTGGAGAACAGTGCAAAAATGGCGATGAAAGCTCAAAAATCAGTGGATTTTGAAAAAAACCAGGCTGTAACCGTCTGGGTGTCTCCCCCATAAGTGTACTACTCGTCGGCGTCCTATAGCTTCACTGTGAATGGTGCAGCTTTCAAGGCTGCCATAACACGGCCGCTTTAGGGTGTCTACTTCGGCCAAGCTGGTTTGGGAGCCCTTATCACGCCATGTCGAGGTCGTTTTTTGACCCAACAATGTTCGAGTGCTATCCTTTGGATGCCATATGGTCATTCCAGGAGAAATCTGCGCTTTCCTTTATGAACCATAATTTGATAATATCACAACAATAATCGATACGTAATCATTTCAGCTTTGGAAGCATCCAACTGCCTATCGGATAACGTGTACAGTATGGATTATAACAATTCTTGTTTCAATTCCAATCGTGTATCCTATTGAGGTATGTTTGAAGGGATCTCTCGAATGTGTTCAGTAGTTTTCCGGATTAGCTACATCAGCTGCGATTTCTGTCCAGTGGAGCTCGAACACAGACTCCTGGAGCTTATAGTAGTCTGAGTAACGTCCAGTAGGGCTTGGGTTCCTTGTTTCACCAAATGACTAAGAAGGTCCCATGAGCAGTAGAAGGCCGCAGAGAAGTGTAAGGGCCCTGTGTTCTACAAATAAAAATGTACCGGAGTAGCAAATTACTATATTGTACTTCGAGTGAGATTCAGCGGCAATTACAGATTTCTTATGGAAAAGAACGCAATCCCAGTACGACCATGAGTTCCTTCACATCAAGCCACCACTACCACCACTATTGGAGTAATGTAGTGGTGGTAGTACTTGCTAGTCGCAATAGTCAGTAGCAGACCTCGAGCAAGTTACCTCTTCCCACGACCCAACATTTATTCGGTACACAAGTACAAATAAAAATAACCACTCGTTCTGCGGCTATTATTACTGTAGGATTCCAAAGACGTACTGAATTTACGTTCTTGTTTCCTCGGCGGCGTTGCTCAGATGTTCGTCTGAAACCCTTTCCTTTCTACATTCATTTCGCTTATCGATTATTTCGCTATGGACGCGCGCACTGCTTATTGATTATTTCGCTACGTTTTGGGCGCGCGTATGGCTTTTAATATTTCTATGTTTTATTATTCCGGACCGCGTTTTCTTGTTAGTTTCAAAGGACCGAATGAAAATGATTTGTTTTCAGTTCCAAGGATATCAAATGGATAATGGTCGAGTGAAAAGTGTCGCATTTCACTTTGTTCATCCTTTTCCTACACAAATGTATACACTTTATGTTATGTGTTTGAGTGTTTTCATACTTCCAACCATTATCCTCTACGTCTACCTCCTCAGCTACAGCTGGTTCCAAAAGGTACTAGTTTGCGTACTGTTATGAATCTTACCGAAAATTTCCGATATTGAATCTCTTCTCCCTTCAAGTTTCTTTCCTATGTACTAGAAATACTTTGTTTGAATGCACAGTTCACAATAATTATGGGGCACCCTTTTTTAATTGAAAAGCGGAAGTGAGGTGGCAAAGAAAGCGCAGAATCGGCAGAATTCGGGAAATATGAGACTTTTTGAAAGTAGCGCAAGCAGGGGCTGTACGAGATCACCATCATGGGAATACAATCAGATAGGTATTTGGACGAGATGTCACTTGTCACAACTGCGTAAAGAGCTGACTATGTGGGTCCAGAAATGCCAAATCGCTTTCCACTGTCTCTATAAGTCACGATCAGCTGTTCGCATTTCCAACATGCACGTCCTTTTTGACTGGTGCAGCCTCCATAATACCGTTAGAACTCGTCCACTTCTGGGTGTGGCGTACAGCGGAGACAGTTTTTGTGTCCCTATTACGCTCTACCGAAGCCGTTATTCGGTCTAACCGTGCGACGTATTGCATACTTGGATGCCCCACTCCCTTTCTAAAGGGTGAATTGGAAAGCATTTTTTCGTAGACTTTGCCTTTGAACTGACACTGAAACCGAGATGTTGTGAATTGTGAAAAGGCTGAGGCTCTTTTGGATCATTGAGGCATAAACTAGTCTCGAAATGCTGTTGCGTAGCAGTAATGAAAATGAACGAATGAACATTTACTGAGATACGATTTGAATCCAAATCCATGTAGAGATGAGGTCCGTGTTCTGATCTCTAAAAATGCTCTTCACTCAGTAGGCTTTCCTGGTAATCGATCTCAGTTATTCTGCTTTATTTTCAGTTCGTCTCAAATTCCAAACGTCACGTCCAAGCGATTGCCATTAAAAGTACTATAGCCGCATTCTTTACGAGTATAGGTAATCTTTGCCTTAGTTTCTAGAAGAAATTTAAATTCTTACTTCAGAATTATTCATTTGTGAAAACAAGGAATAAATCGTTTAGGTGACGTCATACTCCTTGTAGTCCTTGGATCTCAACAAGTATATTGGACTTTGTATCAGGAAGATCTAATGGATCCACCAACATATTGGTTGGCTTATAAAGTAGGCAGAGATCTGCACAACATTGCTACACCATGGGCTATGTTACTTCTATTCAAACGAGTAAGTAACAGTTCCTCAAGTACAGAACTTGAAAAAAAATTATTTACTTTTCAGCTACGACGTTCCATCATCAAAGGAACTTCATCGCGGAATTCAAATACTCCAAACGTTAACTTTGTCCCCAGTCGTGAATTGAACGTTAGGGACCGAAAAAGCCTAGAGCAGAACTGATCGATATCCATCTATAGCACAAGCTGCTGGTTGACCAATCGAGGTCTAGTGATGGTTGCCATCGACCAATAGGAGATCGCCGCGCCGTTCCAACTGGTGCGCAGCTTCTTTGCACTTCTAATTTTTAGGACACTTACAGAGAATACATTTTTCAAATTCAGTTGACTATCTGCGACAAAGAATTATGGGCCAATGTACTCAGGGTAGACGGTGGAAGAGTCGTTGAGTGCCAACATGCCGACTTTCGCCGTCCAAAAGTGAAAATTGTATCTCCTGTGGAGAACATATCCTTGAACATAGCAATAAATCATTATTTTTACCCTCGTGGCTCACCATTTCATTAATAAAGACAGGGTGATGCTCATGAATATTGATATTGCCCTTGGAATGAGCGATTTTTCTGGGCGATTGCAGAAGCAACATTCTGGGGTCAACGCTGCCTTCAGGTGGCCTTGGTTCTGAGATGTTTGAATGGTCCTGATCCTCAGTTACCCGGTTAAGCGTTCTCGAAGAGTCTCTGCTTCTGAATTTGCGTATTAATGAGCAAGCCGAGATATTTGTATGCCTAGAGGAAGAGCAGTAATGTCTAGGGGCGCTTAATCACACGCGCAAGTTCAGGGGATTGTATCTTGGATGGATATCCGAATAGGTCAGACCAGACTTTCGTTGCTCTTGGGGCAAACAACTGATACCAGTTTCTTATGGGAGGATAAAAGCACCGACTTGTACATTGTTTGGCCACCACAAGTCATTCTGAAGGCCAAACACGCATTCAAATGGCACCACGTTTCTGAATGGAGGTTGAGTGTGGGGCTCATCCAGGGAACGGGAGCATTAAGCTCTTTTATCCTATTTATTATCCAACACATGAGACATCTCATGTAAATAAGTTAGCCAACGATCAACAGGTCAAGTATAAAAGCTCGGATGAAACGGGCCAAGTTCGCTCATAAGTCATGTTCACGGCAAGCTTCCTGAATATCATCTTTAGAATATTAGTGGACCTGTTCGGTAGCAATTACAATAACTTAGAATACCAATAGTAAGAATAATTCTTCTATACACCATTGGCATACCAGAGACCTATTTGAAATCTTCGTGAGATTTACTTCTCGGGAAAGGTATACTCGGCCAGTTTTCCTTCATTGATTTGACATGGTAGAAACCTTATCGTATGGTTTGTCAAGAAAGTTGCATCCTTCGAAAAAAAAGTGTAAGTACCGACAAGATGCCTAAGGTGAGCACCGCATAATCGAATCTAAAAAAGGACCTGAGTGGAGCTGGACCAAGACTGAGAGTCGTTGAGATGCTGCATTTGCCAATGTAGATAAATCTCACTCAAGAGCAGAACTGTGCCAATTGAACCTGGAACAAAATGTCAGGCACCTTATATTGTAAAACAGTCAAGAGATTCTGCTGCCAGTACAACACGCTGTCATCACTAGTAACTTTCTTGTAGGGAACCGTGACAGTAAGATGTTCTGAAACCGACCTCTGAAATGAGAATTCTGTTCATTCGCTGATTTTTCTGCTAAATTCTAGCCCACCTCAACGAATGGGGTCGTCAGCTGAACTTTGCTGAGGAAAGTTTATCTTCTCATCTTTGCTGTATTTGCGATAAAAATATTTTTAA